GTATGAGAACCCTTTCATTAAAAGACGAATATCCCACCTCCTTCCAAAATCTAGCACACAAGCTCGGAGCATACCTTCGAGCACCTGAATCATCTGCTCATTTTGGCCATCAGTCTAGGGATGGTATGTTGTACTAAAATGCAGCTGAGTACCTAACTCCTCATGAAACTTCCTCCAAAATATGGAGGTGAAACGAACATCGCGGTCCGAAACTAGCACCACGTGCCGAACTACCACCTCCTAAATGTAGATGTGATCTAACTTCTTTGCGGATATGCTCTCGCCAATCGATATGAAATACACACTCTTGGTCAATCTATTAACCATGACCCACATAGAATCAACACCACGTGTCGTCCCTGGAAAATTTGTGATGAAATCCATGGTAATTTTTTACCACTTCCACGTGGGAATGGGTAAGGGTTGCATCTTGTCTTGGGGTCTCTAATGCTCTGCCTTGACTTTCCTGCGAGTCAAGCACCACTCAACAAACCAAGGTATCCCCCTCTTCATACAGGGCCACCATCAGCTCAACCTCATATCCATATACATCTTCGTGACCCCTGGATGGATAGAAAAATTTGACTTATGCACCTCTCCAGAACTGTCTGTCTCACCCCAATTGATGCCAGAACCTAAACTCTGCCACACCGAGTCAACAACCCTCGACTGTCTCTGATAAATAAGGGAATCTGCCCCCTGGTCCACTCGACCTTCCAATTCTCCTTTTTCAATCCCTCCACTCGAGCATTCTTGATCAAATCCAACAAAGGCAATGTGATATCCATCCTCAAGCAGATATATCGGATAAAAAAACTCACTGCCTTGCATATCAAAGCATCGACAACCACATTGGCATTCCCAGGGTGGTACAAGATCTCGCAATCATAATCCTTCACCATATAACCATCTCTGCTGCCACATATTCATATTCGAATGGTTCATCAAGTACCTCAAACTCTTGTGGTCAGTGAAGATAGTACATCGAACCCTATAAAGATAGTGTCTCCAAATCTTGAGGGAAAAAACGACGGCCCCCCAACTCCAAATCATGCGTAGGATAATTCGTCTCATGAGGCTTTAGCTGTCTTAAAGCATAGCAATCACGTGACCCCTATGCATAAGAACGACTCCTAAACACGAAAATAGAGGCATCACAATAAACCACAAAATCATCCAAACCCTCAGGAAGCACGAGAATATGGGTCTCACACAATCTCTGCCTTAGAGTCTTAAAGTCAACTGTTGATCAGGCGCCCACCGAAAAGTCCCATTCTTCTTTGTCAAACGGGTCAAAGGCACTGCAATCTTAGCATCTTGGATAAATCTTTGATAATACCCTGCGAGGCCTAAGAAACGCCGGATCTCAGATGCGGTCCTCAAAACCTCCCATCGCATCACGACCTCGATCTTGGATGGGTCGACCAGATACCCTTCTGGTTGACAATGCGCCCTAGGAACTGAACCTTACGCAACCAAAACTCACATTGAGAGAATTTTGCATAAAATCTCTCCCTCCTCAAGGTCTCCAACACCTCTCACAAATGTTTCTCGTGTTGCTATTGGAGTAGACCAAAATATCATCAATAAATACAATCACTGACCGATTCAGCATCGGCCTGCAAACTCGATTCATGATATTCATGGACGTTGCTGGTGTACTATTAATTTATAGGGGTTGGATTGAAATTTGAAATTGAAATTTAAGGTAAAATAATGTTTTTTTAAAGAAATTTTGTGGATTGAAATTTTAAAAATGGTGGGTCGAGATTCCTACCAACATTGAAGCAACCAATCACATGCAAGCAATCCCTTCTTTATCCTCTCGTTAAGGCCATAACAAAAGCAAGGTAGCGAACTCCCTAGCAAGAGCTACGGGCGATGTTCCTTTTCCTAGTGAGCATGTTTAGCGCTCTACTCCCATCAGCCTTATAGGTAAAAATAATAAAATTATTGTGTAATGATAGTTAATAAAAAATAATTATTTTGTAATAATTAGGGCTATTTAAGGAAAAAAGATAAAGTAATGATAATGGACTTTTTTTTTTTTAACAACAAAACTAAACTACTATTAAAATATCATTTATATCTCCTATCAAGACCTAAACCCATGACTAAGCTAAAATACAATTTAGATCTTTTATTAAAACTTAAACCATAACCTCTCATTTAAAATATTTACTTCTTACCATTAGGCAAAAAAACCTTATAGTTGATGAAATCACTTTTATATTGATAATATAAAAGTGGTCTAAGTAGATGGATCCTTATTTTATTTATAAATAGGCAAAAAAAACCTTATAGTTGATGAAATCACTTTATATTGATAATATAAAAGTGGTCTAAGTAGATGGACCCTTATTTTATTTATAAAAATGGTGATGTGAAGTGATAGAATATTTATTAAAAGGAGTAAAGATGTAGGGAAGCTATGTAGTCGGTAACTATACCTTAGCCTTAAATTAGTAAAAAATATTACTCTGTGGTTTAACCTAAAAAGTGATAAATTTGAGTGATTTTTGTGTAACTTGTCTCAAAGTTTAAAGGATTCTTTGAAAGTTGAATTTGTCTTTCAATTTCCAATTCCATTTCTCTTCCCAATAAAGCTTACTCCAATCCCCATATCGTAAGAAAAACAATCCCCAAAACTTTGCACTTCTTTTAGTATTAATTTTAGAATCTAAATACTTTAGAGTTTAGACACAAATGTATCACCATCTACCAATAATCCTTACAAGAACACAATCCATGACTAAAATGATGAAACCTCTTGGAATCTCTCACAACAATTTCACGATCCACAATCTTGGCTATCAACTTTATAGTCTCATGACAATCACCACAAATCCTCAAGTTCTTCATCACCTGGATACATGTCCCAGGAACCGAGTTCATAATCGCATAAGCAACAGCAAGCTTCTCACTATGAATCTTCAATGTCATTTCCTTCTCTTCCTTATCAATATCATGTAAAACAGATGTCATATTCGCTACATATCCAGCTTCTTGCACCTTCATCATCAATTCTTCCAAATACAAATAAATCTTCTCATGATCAGGATGCTCTTTATCCCCAACCAAAAACACATGAACCCTACCTTTCAATTCAACCAAACTAAACCCTGGTGTTTTACTCAACCCATGATTCTTCATATAAACCCGCATCTTTTCCACATCTTCCCACCTTCCCGCATCAGCATACATGTTACAAAGTAGAACATAATATCCACAGTTTTCAGGGTCAAGCTCAAAAAGATGTCTTGCTGAAATCTCTCCAAGCTCTACATTCTTATGCATTCTACACGCAGCAAGAAGTGAACCCCACACAACAAAATCAGGCTTTACCTTCATTTTCTTGATCAGATCATAAGCTTTATCAAGAAAACCCGCTCTCCCCAAAAGATCAACCATGCAACTGTAGTGCTCGACACCTGGCTCGATTGAATATTTATGTTTCATGGTTTGAAACCAATGCCACCCTTCATCAACCATACCTGCATGACTACATGCTGATAGAACTGACACAAATGTTATGTGATTTGGGACTATTTTAACACGAATCATTTCATAGAACATGTTTAAAGCTTCTTTAGCATAACCATGCATCCCATAACCTGCAACCATTGCAGTCCATGATTTTACATTCTTGTTCTTTATGCGGTCAAAGCTTCTTTTTGCAGTCATTACTCTTCCACATTTGCAGTACATGTCCACAATTGATGTGCCCACGATTACTTCCTCTTCAAGACACATCTTTATGACCTACGTACACAAGATTATGTATTTCATGTATGTTGTGATTTGTGAGCTTATTTATTAATCTATCATATATGTTTTGAGGAGAAGTAGTTTAAAGTACCTGATCATGTATACATTTTCCAAGTTGTAGAGCACCTGAATGAGAACAAGCCAACAGAACAGTGGACAAAGTCACAGCATTGTATTTAACATTTGGATCTTGCACCATGTTAGAAAACAATTTGAGTGCTTCTGTAGAGAATCCATTTTGAGCACAAACTGCAATCATTGAGTTCCAAGTTGTGACATCCTTGTCGTTTATCTCATCAAAGGCCTTCCTACTGAAAGCTACCTGACCACATTTGGCATAAGCATCCACCAGAGTATTCCCAATTTTTGTATTTTCTGCAAATCCCTTTTTGACAACGACCCCATGGACGCTCTCTGTAATGATCTTACTTGAAGTGCTAGAACAAGCGGCAAGGACAGAAACCATAGCAACTGAATCGATGCACACCTCGTCTTCGTTGTCACTCATGCTTTCTTCAGTCAGGAAGTCTTTAAAAAGGGATAAAGCCTCATGGGGAAGTCCGTTTTGGACATACCCGGTGATCATTGAAGTCCAAGAAACAACATTTCTCAGAGGCGATTCATCGAACAGGTTGCGTGCATCATCCAGGTGACCACATTTCGAGTACATGTCAATGAGAGCAGATGAGACGAAAAGATCGTTATGAAATCCAAAGACAATAGCTTGTTGGTGGGTCTGCTTTCCAGAGTGAAGATCATAGAGAGCGGAACATGATTTGATGGTACAAGGGAAAGTGGAGCGGTTTGGGGTAAGAGATAGCTTTCGCATGGCGGAGAAGGCGAGAAGAGACTCCACAGACTCACCGGCGCGAGAAAGGTCGGCAATGACCGAATTCCATGACCAGACATTGGTGGTGTCTACGTATTTGTTGAAGAAAGTAGCGAGGTTAGGATTACTGCGGGGGAAGTTATTGATTGTAAGCTCCGACAAAGCAGCAGCGACCATAGCTGCTTTGGTTATCTTCATTCATTTCCCGGGTTTCGGGTTTCCTTCTGGTCGCTTCTTTTTCTACAAACTACGATAGAGACAACTAGTTTGAAGAAGCTATAAAGAGTTTCAAATTTCTCTTTATAATGTTGTTTAGTTTGAAGATAAAGTGTCACATGACAAGAAAGTCTCTTTATATACTATTTTTTGCTATATATATAATCATACTTTTTCCAAATCAAACTATTGTAATGAAAGTATCCCTTCAAATCAAAATGTTAAAGTATACATACATACAAACAACTCAAACCAACCATCATCATAAATCATAAAATCATAAATAAATGTTTGTTTCATGTGTGATGCTACACAAATACACAATTGAAAGAATGCGACTACCATCCCATTTCCCACCACCCTCCGCCGACTTGCCGCCGGAGTTGGCCCTATATCTGCCGCCAGGCCCAACTACTAGTACTAGTCTACTACAGAAGCCGAAGGTGGGAGGTATCATTTAATCTTTTAATCTGCCACCCTGTTTTCCATGAATGTTGGAGTAGTGTCACAGATGAATCTTCTATGCACATCTTGTTTGACATCACCGGGCTACAACCAAGAACCCCTGTCAAAAGACACTTGATAGGAATCGAGTGACTGAAAACCGCCACACAGTGGTTGCTGTTGCTTCTCCCACTCATCCCCACCCCCACATGGTGGTGGTGGTGATGGTGGTTTTGTTCTTCATCCGCCTCGTGATCTCCGGTGGTTGTCACCATTTGCAGGCGGCTTTTCCCGGACTTCCTCCTTGCCAACACTTGTTTGGGCTTTTGTAGTAAATCCCACCGGGGTGATGGAAGTCCATATTGATGATCTGGAGGTGAAAACCCACCAGATCGGAGCTTTTCCGGCAAGCATACTACTGTTCCGTTTAGGAATTGGAGCATTCGGAATTCCACCTGCCGGAGTGATTCGCCGGAAGGGGCTGCAAAATCCGGCTGGAATCTCTCGATTAAGGCTGACACTTCAGGGGTGTATACATCGGACTTCACGCATCCCTCCCATAGTCCATGACTCATCTCTTGTAGGGCTTCCGATGCTTGTATCAGGTGTTCGGAAAAATTCATCTCCTGAAAACAAACAGAACACGAAAATTAAGATGCAAAACCACAAACCCAAATCTACGACGGAAATTACTTGATGGAACTTGAGAACAATTTGTAAGTTAATCAATTAATCGAGATTCATATTTGATATTCCCCTTTTGCAGGAATGCTGACCAAGGGTGGGCCAGTTAGAAGATTCGTGATCAAAATATCACCTTCAATTGAGGATTCTGAAGAATCTATCAATCGAACGAAATTTGAAGCTTCAAGAAGATACACTCATTACTCAAGTCAATCGGTTACTTCCTTAAACTTATCGAAAAATGGGATCAAGATGCGAATTCCTACAAATGAGCATAAGTTGTGAATCAAGCAGATGAAGTAATGGAGTACCTGACAGATGGGAAGAGCTGTCGATCGAGCGCGATCTAAAGGGGAAGTGTAAACGGCATTGAATCGAATCCCCTGAGATTTCAAGAACACTGCTAAGGCTCTAGCTTGTCTCTTCCCGTTAGGCGTCAGTGTAGCTTCAGGGCAACGACCACCGACCAAATCTGGTCTTAAATTAACATGGCACTCACCTTGGCATATCAAGTACACCTCCGTCATAGCTCTATCGTCATCCACCGCGTCGGAGAAGCTCCGAGTGAACTGCGGCGGCGGAGAAAGGACGTTGCAAGGGTCCCACACCTTGATGGATGGAGCAAGGCGTGGAGTGCCGAAAGACGACGGCTGAGGGGATAACGGCGATGCAGATGCGTGGCAGGGTAACAGTTCCGGCTCTTGTTCCACGACCTTCTTCATTAAACTGTCTTCTTCACCAAGTAATCTGATTGTGTCGTTGTGACCATGATCGTTTCTTTCTTCTTCTTCTTCTTCTATTTCTTCATCGTCGTCGTCGGTTACTTGTACAGACTCAGATGCCCCCATTTCAACCTGCAATCCGTTACTCAGATGTTTCGAAATTCGAATCTACCGAATCAAAATACTCAAACAAACGATTCATGATTCAACATCAGATTATGGGAATTATTATTAAAAAGGGAAATTGAAGTAGATCTGGAGTTGTTACTTGCTTCTGGTTGCGTATGGGATTAGGGCCGAAAAGAGACACAAGTGGATTTATTCTCTTTCTTCACATGTCAAGCAAGTTTGCTACATACTTCAGTTTTCACTTTACCCATCGAGTAATCAACTGTCTTCTTCGTCTGTGTTTATCAAAATCTTTCCTTTTTTACTCTGAGATAAATCGGTCAAAACCCTATCTTGTTTTGAAACCGGCATTAAAGAAGGGTAAAAGTGATTCAACAGACTAGGAAAACATCTGTGCATTTAATGGTTTTGTCTACTTTTGTAATAGAAACATCTTGTTTACAAATAAATCGAAAAGTTTCTCAATCTACTTTATATAAACTTCATATAACTTTTAGAAAGCTTATCAATGTTTCGACAAAATTAGTTTCTTGCAAAAAGAATAAAACTGAGTACGTAGGTAGCAAGTGGATTCTACAAAGTAAAAACCAGTTTGTCCAAAGTCCAAACAATCGAATTGGTTAGAGATTGTTCACGAAACAAGTAAATATCTTTAGGTTTAATGGTATATTGTATGTTAAAAATAAAATATGTGTCAACGTCGACATTACAATCTAAATAATCATGATTTGTTATACGTCTAGATGACTGAAAATGTTATTAAATTAATGACAAATTAAATATGTTTGAAGTTTTATTTTATACTTATATATTTGTTGTTTACTAATTGGGTTAATGGCACAACGACAATCAATAAGTTTCAATTCACTATGCATCGGGTTAGCTTTAACTAACCGGTAACATAGATTATCTGGTGTTAACAGTGGGACATGTAATATTGATATTATGCATCGGGTTAGCTTTAACTAACCGGTAACATAGATTATCTGATGTTAACAGTGGGACATGTAATATTGATATGGCAACTACAAGCAAAAAAGTTATATTAGATGTTTGGATGATGTATGATCTAGTTCTTCTTCCTTTGATTTCGGGTTGCTTATTTGATAGTCTATCGTATTGTTCTTTTTCCTATCCAATATTAATATATATAAATAAACGTGTATAATGAGGTATGATTCGGAAATACATCTATCCTTTCCTTGATATCCCGAACTGGCATGTTTGCAGATGCCTGAACCACTAAAACACCGAACTGGCATAATGACTTTTAAGGAGAAGACGCAATAGAGGGAAGGTACAATATGACGTCTAAACAGTAATGGCAGTGTCTCGAAACTATGAGCATACAGCCTGTACGAGGATACGTGATCAAGAGATCCTGATATAGCAACAAGACAACTATATAACGGTATGTATAGTACCAATGATCATACCTTCGAGCGTCACACCATAAATGCGATAAGATGGCATGTCAGGGTCGATTCGGAAGAGCTTGCAACTTCCTATATCCCTATAAATAGATGTATCGACGCCACATGAAGGTACGTACACAATATCTACTTCCGACTCTCGTGTATAACTCGTCGAACCTATAATGTTTTCGCTAACTTAACCGTCGGAGAGTCATCCGAGATCAGCTCCCAAGCGGTTACCTACGGTTTGTTTGGAGTCTTCGGGTCAATCTTATTCCCTGTGGACATCGGATCCTGGAGTAAAAGATGGAAGACGAACCTGATGGCACGCCAAGTGGCACTATCTGTGGGACTCTGCAACAAACAGTCGACGCAAGCAGGCGAAGCAAGTCCCATCGCAAGAATGCAAACCCTAGAAGGCCCAGAAGCAACCCTGCAGGTTACTACTGTGGTAAGACATCAAAGCACAGTCGCCGGAAATTTTGTCAGCGACGAAAGAGCGAACTCACAAGGAAAAACGACAGAAGAAGTGGAATTTGACGAATTCGAAACATTCAAAAGTTTTAGAGTTATGAGAAAGTTACAAAGTGAAAAACGACTCCAGAAGGAATGGGATCGAGTTTCGGTCCATACAGACCAAACGGAAGACTACAACAAAGAAGAAAATGAGTCATATCCTCACGGAAAAAGATCAAGCAAGAATGAGAAGGATGTAGATCGATTACCCGACGCAGAAAACGCTTATAGAAAGCAAGATAAGCTACCCGAAGTAATAGAGGCCAAGCAATACAACCAAGCGTTCAAGAGTCTGAACTTTCGCTCTCCTTTTACAAATGACATCAACGAAACGCCCATCCCTAAAGGATTGAAATGGACAAGGGTACCACCTTACGATGATACTGGAGATCCAGACAATCATGTATGTAACACCCCAAAATTGAAGACCAAAAACTTCATTGTTAATTAAGTAATTATAAAACTAATAGTATAGAAAACCATTCATAGTGTCACCCCATATCAAAACCAATATATCAATAGTCAAAACATGTCAGAGTAAAACAACATCATAGTATAACTCCCAAAGATCTCATGTGCGGAAATCATGGTGTGATGTCTTGCGATCATGCCGACTCCTTTCCTTTTGAAAAAGAAGTACCTGAAACCAAAACTGAAAAACGTAAGCATGGAGCTTAGTGAGTTCCCCCATCATACCACACACCATACAACAATACACTGCCAAGCATATGGGTGTCGGCCTCCGCTTCGGTCTATTTCAACCGAATACTGCCAAGCATATCTGGGTGTTGGCCTCCCCTTCGGTGTATTTCAACCGGATATTGCCGAGCATATATGGGTGATGACCTCCCATTTGGTCTATTTCAACCGGATATTAGGTATATTTCACCCCTACCACTACCACATAATAACGTAGCAAATAAAAACATAAAACATAACAAATAGTGGCATACCAAACAATTATCACAAAGACAATCATCCATACTACAAAAAACTACTAGTGGGTCGGATGGCTCGGATGGCTTCTCTCCCTATAGCATAGCAAGTCCCTTAGTTAGTTATTGGGCCCAAGCATGACTCCCTTATGGCCCAGTTTCTAATTCATGCCCTAAGGCTAGGTTCCTAGTCCTTAACTTAATGGGCCTTTTCCCCAAGTCCCAATCCATAGTAAATTTAAGGCCCAAGTCCATTACTTTAAACTTTAAAGCCCAACAAAGCCCAATACCATAAATCCCAGTCCTAGGCCCAGAGGCCTTACTCCACAGTTGGCCATGAGGCCCAACAAAATCAGGCTCAGTCTTCTATGCCCCAAGAACCCATGTTAACCACTATGTATGCGTACATACGGTATACCTAGCGCGTACATCGACCTTGACCATAAGCAGGAAACTGACTAGGGACGCGCAACGTACTAGGGGGTACCCTCAACGTTTCTGCCAGTCACTCTTAAGTCATTCTTTTGACTAAATCCATTAAGTCCCAACGTTTAGAACATAGATCCATGTCCTTTAAGACATCCTAAACCATAAAGTTACAAACTTTATGTCTTTGCATGCATGGATGGGGGTTAAGACATGCTTTAAGTCCCTAAACACACTTTGTGACTATCTAACACTTGCATGGTTGTGGGTTAACCATCAAGATTTGATTTTTATGGTTCTAAACACCTCCAAGAGCCAAAAAGGACAACTCATTTGGACAAAATCTTCTAAAACTCAAAGGACCGCAAGTATGCGGCCAAAATGTGACATAAAACACCCCAAAACTAGATCTAAGCATGCAATGATCAAGTTTAGATCTTTATACCTCTAATGAGTCATAAATGATGCCAAACTTTTGGATCTACAAGCCTTCTCCAAGATCTTGCTCCCCCTTCGAGCTCCTTATTCTTCAAAACTACCAAAATAACACCAAAATGCTCAAAGTGAGCTCAAGATACATGCAATGGGGTTAGGGTTTGAGTTAGGCACTGAGAGGACAAGGGAGGCTGAGAGGATAAGGTTTTGGAGATTTTGTAACACCAGTTCTCGGTACGTTCATAAATTTAAATAATTGTATGTTTTTACATTAGGATTCGGCGAGTTGGAGGCCCAACTCGTCGAATAGAATAGACTTTGGACAAGGGTTTTAAGTAACCTACTCGACGAGTCGGGAGCCCAACCCGACGAGTAGGACTGTCTGGATAAAACCCTAATATTTAGGGTTTGAACCTTATTTAAACGCCTTATCCTGTCCCAATCCATCCTTCATCGTCTCTCCTAGTTCAGAAGAGCCCTAACTCGAAACCCTAAAACAATTGGAGTGTTCTTGAGCCATTTTTGTGTGTTTTTGGTTGTTTGAAGCTTGAAGAAGGAAGTGGAAGCTTGGGGGTTCCAAAATAAGCAAGTATATCCAGAGGTTTTGCTTCATTTCTAGCACATTCAAGGAAAAAAGCTTCAACCTTGACCATCTATCTTTTAGATCTCTAGTTAGGGTTCATTTCTACCTTTTCTAAGCTTTAGTAGAGCCATATTCGGGATTTTGTGGTTCTAAGGGGGTATGACTTCAGATCAGGAACCATTGAGGGTTCCCATAGCATAAATATGCCAACTTTATTGCCATAAGAGCCCCGTGCACCTTGTAAACTCCATTTTAGGGCCATTTGATCCAAATACCCCATGCATGAACGTCAAGTTTGTAACTTCACGTGTATTATGGACCCTAGGAGGTTAGATCTATGTTTTGGATGTATTGAACTCGACTGAAATCAACTGTATGGGCATGGACTTTAGGGGACTCAGCGATTCATCCTTGGCACTCGACGAGTCGGGGTATGGTTCCCCAACCTCTTTTTTTTTATCGAAATGGTTGAGTCTATAAGAGGACTCAACAAGATGGATGTGAATATGGAGCTGAAGATTATGGAAATCGGTGAGTTCAAGACAAGTCCCAACTGCTTGAAGACGAACTCGACGAGTTCATAAGGAACTCGGAGAGTCCAGGGCTAAATGTGTCTTCTTGCATGAAGAAGAACTCGATGAGTTCAAGGGTGAACTCGACGAGTCATACATAGAAGGTCCCGACTTTGTATGAAGGAGAACTCGGCGAGTGCATGCAAGACTCGCCGAGTGGGGTCGAGGTTTTAGTGTTTTGAGGATTTGGGGACTCGGCGAGTTTTTGAGTCAACCAGATGCTGACTTTGACCCAAAGTTGACTTTGACCAATGTGTTGACCTTGACTTTGGCTTTGACATGAGTAACCCTTGCAAGGGTTAAGAGTGTGTAATGGTAAACTAAGGAAGGTTGTTATGTGTAGGAGTTGAGAGGAGTTGATCCCAATATCGAGGACAGTTCAGTTACTGCACGACATTTAGGTGAGTTACCTTCCAGTAAAAGTTGGTATAAGGCCACAATGTCGGACCACTAGTAAGAGAATGTAGTTAGATGATTGTATGTGTGATAATTTTCTGGTATGCCACTATCTGTTATGTTTTATGTGTCAGTATGCTATGATTATATGTGGTAGTGTTAGGGGTGAAATAGTCCCCGATATTCGGTTGAACTAGACCGAAGGGTAGGCCAACACCCAGATATGTTAGGCAGTTATCCGGTTGAAATAGAATGAAGGGGAGGCCAACACCCAGATATGCTAGGTAGTTATCCCGTTGAAATAGACCGAAGGGGAGGCCAGCACCCAGATATGTTAGGCAGTTATCCAGTTGAAATAGACCGAAGGGGAGGCCGACACCCAGATATGTTATTGTATGGTATGTGGTATGATGGGGTAACTCACTAAGCTTTGTGCTTATAGTTTTCAGTTTTGGTTTCAGGTACCTCTTCGTCGAAGGGGAAGGAGCTGACACGGTAGCAGCTCATCGCACACACATGATTTCCACATTTTGAGATCCATAGGATTGTATTATGACATTTTTACTATAGATGATATGATTTTTGAGACATGTGATTATGGTTTTATGGATCAATATGATATTGATGATATATTTTCAGTAAACTGTTTTATAAGTAACATAATTAAAAACAAAATTTTTGGTCTTGAAAATTGGGATGTTATTGTGACAACCAAAAATTTCACACCAAAAATTTAATTTTTAACAATCATAAAACACGTGTCTCATTAACAAAACCTAAATATCCATCAACAAAGTTTTCAAAACAACAAGTCAAATCCAGGATCCACAAACATAACTCCATATCAAGAGTGTTTGTACAATCACGCCGGTGCCTTCCCGCGATCCTCTGGGGTACCTGAAACACATAACACATAACACGGTAAGCACGGATGCTTAGTGAATTCCCCAAAATACCACATACAACAATTCGCCACTCGAGGCTATACTCTGTACGACCCTCTGTTCACTGTGTCTCAGTGAGACCCTCCGGTCCTGTAGCTCGTTGGACCCTCTGGCCCGGTGCAGCTCGTTGGACCCTACGGTCCTGTCTGGTTGAGGACCCTCCGGCCTCGTAAATCGTTGGACCCTCCGGTCCGGTCAGAATAGCACATAGCATACATAAATCACAATACACATAATCTCAAGCAAACACGTATGACCTTCCGGTCCACACATATATATCACCCTAGGTAATGTATAGCGAGAAGACTCACATCGGGTAAACTCGGATGATCTCGTACTCGAAACACTGATCTAGCCTCCACCTAATAACATACATAAATTACCTCTAGTTAAGAATGGCTCTCAAAGGCTAGACTATTCCCTTCCTATGCTCTCTCTCTCACAGAGTGGTAAAAGACCATTCTACCCTTCCTAACCTCTTACACTCATCTTGCCCAAACCCTAAGGTCAATAAAATTCAACTCCAGTCAACAGTCTAACTTTTGACCAGACTTGTCGAGTGCACTCGGGTGACTCGTCGAGTCCAATTGATTCATGGCAACCCCAACAAGCTCTAACTCGACGAGCTAACCCCTAACTTGTCGGGTCACCACCTGACTCAGCTCATCGGGATAAAACCCTGGGCTACTCGCCGAGTCAGCGACTTGGCTCGGCGAGTCTATTCAGACTCTTTTGCATTCAGCCATTTTAGTGCAAGATACTTTCCTAAACTTCATATCTATGTACTCAAGGCTCATTAATCACGTAAAGGTTCGACCTTTATGTCCCTGCATCACCCATCGAGCTCTAATTGACAAAATAACCCTCAAAATGGTGTCTTTGGCTCAATATTCTTATGTAATTGCATAAAGATGGGTTCTTGGGACTCTCTGGACTTCTCAAGGTCCAGATATGATGTCTAAGCCTGAAAGGGACTTCACATGCTTCATATCTCAACTTAAAAGAGGGTAAAGAAGCCCTATATTCATGAGATATACTAATCATATCAAAACAAATATGGATTCACACCTCCCACATCATCCTTGAATGAAATTGTGGAAGATCTGAGCCCCTCTAGTCAGTCAAGCTTGAACCTTCTCCTTCTTCCTTGCAAGAATGCA